GTGTAAAACTGCATCAAATGTCTGTGATGGTTAGTAAGTGTAAGTGCTCGCGACTCTTCAGCTCCGCCACGGCTCGCCTCCAGGAGCTTGGCTGTTTTCGGAGAGAATCGCAAGCTGTATCTTAATTTTATAAATCAGGATCAACTAAACGCTGGATTCTCAAAGTATGTAAAATATTTAAGTTTGCGGCACAGAATCTTTCAAATACGTCCGAGAGTTTTACACACCGGTCTGTTATTGAGGCAGCATTTCCATGCCCCGAAACGTGCTGCGAATGAAACTAACTGTGATTGGTTGTTTGACGAAGAAGCTGCCATGAATTCCAGACCTTCAGCCGTCAGTCTGAATGTCTGGCTACGCGAGACTAATTTTTATAGCACTACAGCACAGATTTAAGCAGCAGGAAATAACGACCATGGTGCAAACGGAATCATTTCTGCTGCGGCGCAGCTCCAAGAGAAATTGGTACAATCATCTTTGACGATAGTGGTCCTGACAGAACCAGACAAAGGGTCGCTACACAGTGAGCACGGGAGATAATATGGCAAACAAAATCCAAGTAATTCAGAAACATTCATAAGACAGAGAATAGTAGCAAGACAGATGATCATACATAGAGGGCAGAAAAACAGAGTCCCAGGGATTATCGAAATGAGTAAGAAGCAAACAGACAGGTGTCATACACAGAATAAACAGAATTTAAAAAAAAGAATGGCAAGACAAACACAGAGTTTGTATGAAGTCTTTGCTGACCAAATGTATGTCAGGTATGTTAATGCTCGGTATATGGCACCCTTGTGTGGCGTAGTGGTACATGTACATTCTTTATTATCCTATTATAGTGCATAAATCTCAGTCAAGTATTTATGGTTCGTACTTATGCCTGCAAATATATTTAATCTCATCCAATGAAATATCCGCTTGTAATACACCATCTGCTTTTGACCACAACCAGTTTGCATACCGGGAGAACAGATCAGCGGAGGATGCCATTGCTATTGTGCTTCACATACTTCTGGAACACCTGGAGCACAAAAACACCTATGCAAGGCTGCTCTTCATTGACTTTAGTTCGGCTTTTAATACAATCCGGCCGAACACACTCCGGCGGAAACTGTGTAACCTTGGATTGAACAACTCATTATGTAACTGGATACTGGACTTTTGTCAATGTCATTCCTATGCATTTGCACTTATGAAATTGCACTGTCGATTGATGCTCTAATGTAATTTCGTTGTTCTACAATGACAATAAAATATTATTATTATTATTATTATTATTATTGTAAGTCTTGAATCTAATCTTGCTTCTTACTTTCAGAGTTTTCTTTATAATTTCCATCCAATATATAATTGGGAAACCCCAACAACTTTGTGGGGGGAAATTTTCCAATAATGACAGTGGGTGTTGTTGTGAATTTTTAAGCGGGTCAAAATAAAATTTCAATGTTGTAAATATGTGAAAACGTGTTTGTGGCATACTTCATACTTTTCAGCTCATCCAAGGACATAAACTTCTTGTCCTCATAAAGAACCAGTAGATGTAAACTATGCCCTTGTACTGTACGTTTTAAATCCCACATATTTTTGTACATTGTGCCAAATGATAATGTTGGCAACTGCATTATAAAACTGCCCTTGATGACCAAGTGTGGCAGTTGTGTTTTAAGGCTCACAGTAATTACAGAGGTAATTTTTGCACCTAGGATTTACACAAGAAAGCTTAAATAGTCCACTGACGCAAGTCAGGTGCAAGGGTAATCAGTGCCAAGTACGTAAAAGGGAGGGCGCGAGCATCAGTTAATTCAGAGACGTTCCCTTGAGAATTTATGAATATGAGTTAACAAATCTTTAGCCATCCACTAGGGGGCAATCTGACTCCCACTGCTTGTCAACAGTTAGAGCAGAGTTGGCTCGAGTATCAGTCACGCTCAGTGTTGCCAAGTCCGCGGTTTTCCCCGCGGAATTGGGCTACTTAACACTTGCCGCGTTTTCTAGTTTTGAGTAGCAATTAGGCGGGTTTTGTTGTGAAAACCTGGCAACCCTGGTCACGCTTATTGACAGTGTAAGATGATTTACGGTTAACCGTGTCGGAAATCCAACCACGGATTGGCATGTTTTTATCTCAGACACAGGCTCAGCCATCACATTGAATCAGGTAAACTGGTTATATATTTATGTTTCAGTATAATTACGCATGCTATACCAGGGGCGGTTCTAAACCCTTTTTAGGTGGGTTTCAGCCCCCCTATCTGTCACCTTAGCCCCCCAAAACTATCTTAACGATCAGGCCAGTGCTGCTTCCTCGAGAAAGTTTTTCATTCTCACGTGTTTTAAGTCTTGTCAGTTTAAACATGAAAGTAATTTTAAGCCATTTAAGCCCAAGACATCTAAGTGTGGTACGCACGCGCTGTGATAAAGCATTGAAATTAGACAAACTTGGGGGGGCGCATGTCCTAAAAGGTTGAAAACCCCTGGCCTACAACACTGAATAGTTGAGTGCATATCATCATAGTGTGAATACAGCAGTGGCGAGCGGTGACTTTTTTAACCTGGTATGCTGAGTGATAAGATCCCACCCCCACTTAGGACACTCAAAGCTCAAAAGGGATCACAGATGACAAATAATAAACACAGTGGCAGGTATCGATTTAAAAGTATGAACATTTCCTACCTTATTTGTAAATGAAATTCATCTCCAATCCTTCTTCTATCATTTCAGGTTTATCCATTGTTATTCGAATGCAAGAAAAATATAGCTGGTTTTCCAAGTAAAAACACAGGCTCAGCCATCACATTGAATCAGGTAAACTGGTTATATATTTATGTTTCAGTATAATTACGCACGCTATACCAGGGGCGGTTCTAAACCCTTTTTAGGTGGGTTTCAGCCCCCCTATCTGTCACATTAGCCCCCCAAAACTATCTTAACGATCAGGCCAGTGCTGCTTCCTTGAGAAAGTTTTTCATTCTCACGTGTTTTAAGTCTAGTCAGTTTAAACATTAAAGTAATTTTAAGCCATTTTGGGAAGAGTTAACATCGCTACTCAGTTTGACGACGGCCACAGGATTGCGATAAGAAAACACAACGAGGAGGTGGATAAAAACAGGTATATTTTATCCAAGATAATTGATTGTGTTAAGTTTTGTGGGGCTTTTGAGTTGGCCTTGCGTGGGCATGACGAGACTGACTCGTCAGACAACCCTGGCATTTTTAGGGGTTTAGTGGATTTTGTTGCCTCAATAGACAATGTGCTAGAGGAGCACCTTAAGACAGGTACCGTTTTTAAGGGCACATCAAAGACGGTACAAAACCAGCTGTTGGACTCCATGCTATCAGTGGTAAAGGATTACATTCTGGAGGAAGTAACTGCCGCTGATTTTATCACTATTCAAGCTGACGAGACGACTGACGTTTCCACCCGCTGTCAGCTGGTGCTTGTACTAAGTTACATAGATTCCAATGGTAACATCCAAGAGCGCTTTTTTGAGTTCTTTACCATCCAAAACGCAAACGCCAACTCCATCGCTACAGCACTTCCGGACAGGCTAAGTACCATACTACCAAATGGACAAAAAAA